GTTGATGCACGTCAAGCCTGCATTCCTTCGCTGCATGGCAACTTGTACATTGCTGGTAAAGCGACGTTTATTGAGGAGTCGTCTATCATTTGTTCACACACAGTTTGTTCTGTCTGTGTTTGCTCATTGTTTCTGCAGGGAATACCAGGAAACATTGGTGACAAGGGACCTCAGGGCGTGAAGGGAGACCGAGTAAGTGCAAGAAGTAATGCTGGTCCTCTTCGTAGACTGTGCACTCTGGGAGCAAGCTGGCAGTCTTAGTGGCGAAACTACGGACTCGGGTGTTGCCGAGAAGTGCTTGAAGCATGTAATGTAATGTGTCATACGTGTGTGTGTGTGTGTGTGTCATTCTGTTTGCTTGGTTGGATTCTGATTTGTATGTTACACTCCAGTAGTCCCTGTTCTACGGTTGCTTCTCCGACATGACTGCCTCATGTGCTGATTAATGCAGGAGAAAATGAAATCTGATATGAACCGTTTGTAGTGCTCATCACCTATTGTGGAGTTTGTTCCATGGCAACATTTCCACCGATGATGTGGCATTGACCCTCACTCATGACATCTGTTACTGGGATCTAAGTTGTGCATTCTGCAGTCTTGGGCTCCTGCTTGCGCCGGCTAGTGTCGGCCATAACGACCAGCACACGTCTGTTGCAGTTCTGATCAACTGCTTTGTGTTTCTGTGTGTGCGTGTGTGTACGTGTGTACATGTGTACGTGTGTGTGTGTACATGTGTACGTGTGTGTGTGTACGTGTGTTCATGTGTATAGGGAGTGCCCGGTGCACCTGGAATAAGAGGACCAACAGGCCCCACTGGCCCCAACGTAAGTGCTCCTACTGTACCTCTTCTGTGCCCGCTTCTCCGGAGTGTTGAGCTGATACTGATGCACCTGTTGTAACTGACTTTCTTCACCTGCTCCCAGCCCCGTGTCATCTCCACACTTATACAATGGACAACAAGATAACTACATTCCAAAGGCTATATTTGTGACAAGACGACGGAAACACAACTAGACATGACGAACTCAGGACGAAAACTGCTTTTCACACCACAGCAACACTTGCAAACACAGCATGTTTCTTCTGAACTACTCAATGTTCTGCAAGGTATATGTATAGTGCTGTTGCCGTCTCCAGTGTCGATCAAGAGCAGCTACTCAGCTGTAGTTTTGTTGGTGGGTTGTACCACTCCTTGCTGGCTGCCCATCAATCTGATTCCTGCATGTGTATTGTTTGCAACGACAGTGTGTTAGAAACAATGCTGTTATTTTCGCCACCGGGTATACTGCACAGCGCTGGGTTGTCACCATGCATGTCACTATGCCAGGATTGTCACCATGGTGTGGATGTATGTGTATTCTCTGTACAGGGTGCTGATGGCCGTGTGGGCACCAAGGGTGAGCTCGGCGAACCCGGAGACATGGTTAGTTAACACTAGTAATGACATTGGTATTTCAATGTGCCCAGAAGTTTTATTAACCTTTTGAGCACACATGACGTTCTGACACGTCATGACCACTGCCACTGTGACACGCGTGACGTTCTAGAACGTCACGAGTCAGTGCGGAACTACATCGATACCGCGTTTTTTCCGTGGCGTGGCGTCGAGCTGTGCCGCTGCACAGAGGACTCCTAGGATGTACGAGTACAGTAACAAAAAAATGCGAGTCGCTCTGTACGTTTGAACTGGAATTACATGCGCGTGCATACATTTCAAAATACCAATTTCGCGTAAAACTACCTTTATGAAAACGGTCATACCTTTTGTAATCTTTGTTGTATTTCCAAAACAAAAACAGTCCTGTGCTCAGGATACATGAAAGAATCGTTGGAAATCAAGTTTGCTCACATAGAGTGAATTTAAATTTTTTACTGCGTTGCAGAGGTTTTCAATGGGCCCGGGCTCAAAAGGTTAAAAAGGTTATGTGTGAGTGTTAGGGTGTGTGTGTTTTTAAGTATTACTCAAAGACAAGTATGTGTTTTTTGTGCTTTGAGTTGTTACACAGGAATTGTTATTGTCTCATGCATGTAGTTGCCTTCAAACACCTGGTTGACATTGCACCAACGATGTACATGATGTCTCAGTTGACGTTGTTAAGTCGGGTGAAGTTCAACTTTGCAACCATCCTGCACGTGCACCGCTGAGATTTCCTTTCAGTCCACTCTGTACTGAATGGCGTTGGGCCCTTTGTGTGGCTCAGCGACCTGCAGGCTTGTCTGTGTGGTGTTTTGTACATGCCGGTGTTGCTGGCAAACTTGACTCACTACATGGTGTGCCACTGTTCTGTGACTGTGTTGGTGCTCAGGGTGGACAAGGAACACCTGGCCAACCTGGATCACCTGGAGATCTCGGACCACCCGTAAGTGCCCGGCTGACACAGCCGGCTTGACTATGGTGCATCTATATCTGTATCTCAAGACCCATTTGAGTACAAATTTGAAGTCACTGCTGTTTAGCTCAACCCCTTCATTCACCAGCTGTTTCTCCTCTCTTGAGTTCCCGTCATCTTATGGCAAGACTTGCCAGGAGTAACTACTTGCTGTCCTCTCTTGCACCTGACACTAGAATAGGTGATGCACATGTCTTCAGAGGTGTGTGCCAAATGGTTCATTTCGTTTACCGGTACCCGGCGTTCAAAGATAGCCGGGAACTGCTTTAAATGCACCTCGGGCTATGTCGTCGTGTCAAGTTATATCTTGATGTCTCAGTGCAGCACGAATGATGCTCTCTTGATGCTTTGTCTTATCATTCCAGGGACTTGAAGGCCCTGCTGGAGATACCGGTGCACAAGGCAGACGTGGCATCCGTGTAAGTTAGGCTGCTCTGTAACCTCTCAATGCAGCATGCACCAGGGACTCCAGCTGCCAAGCATGCTATTCTCAGCAGTATTACTTGTTTGCACATGTGTACTCATGTACTTGTGTATTCATGTACTTGTGCTGTAGTACGGGTATTTGGTGTGTGCGTGCCACATGCAGTCCTGTATGTATGCAACAAGAATTGGTATGGTACATTGAGCTAGGGACTGTAAGGGGTAAAAAGAAGCTTCAGTCCTGCTCTCGTGTATGAGTTTGCATGTGTTCTGTCTTGTTGTGTGTCTGGCTGGCAGGGTGAAACTGGACCTCCTGGTGAAGACGGCGCTCCTGGCACTGTTGGACAACAGGTACGTATTGTAACAGTGTGCATGATGGCATTTGACTGCAGTAGCCTTTAAGCCGGCATGGTTTAGTATGGAAGATGGCATGCTCTGGGACTGTCCTGCCACCCAATCCTTCATGGCATTTCTGGGCTTCATTCCATCGCTTACATTGTGAACTTGATCAACATGCTGTCTAGTGTGTTTGATCACATTGTGAACTTGCTGTGGGTGTGGTGTGCCGATTGCAGGGAGAACGCGGACCAATCGGTGATACTGGCGATGTTGGAGACCAAGGCCAGAAGGTAAGCTGTTGAAGAAGGGAAGATGTTGACGAAGGGAGCATGTTGAAGCAAGAAAGATATTGAAGCAGGGAGTATGTTGAAGCAGGGAGCATTTTGAAGCAGGGAAGATGTCTGACTGCTAATACAGTCAACCTCTTAAACAACGACCTCAGGTACCAATGTTTTGAATGCCACATGTCTGCCAGTGAATGGCGTAGCTCAGAGCGGCTGCAAGGAATGGCCAATATTACAAACAACTGATTGGTGGGTGTGTTGCTATGCATGCTCTGTTGCAGGGTCTTCAAGGACCAGGTGGCGCTGATGGAATGCCCGGCACTGGTGGAAGTGCGGTAAGTAAAAAACCCACTACATTGCATTCTGCCAAACACACACACGCACACGCACACACACACACACACACACACACACACACACACACACACACACACACACACACACACATACACATGGGTGCACTCCTTGATACCTCACGCTGTGCAGAATCAGCACCATGGTTGCATGGAATTAGGAGCACGCTTCAAATATCTCTAGCAATATCGGTTAACACATTCTTGAAGTTCTTGTCCATGTTCCCTCTTGCAGTGTGATGCTGTGACGATGGGTTTGTTGACAGACTCAGTGCTTGGCATTCACACTGTGACTCTTCTACGTTGATTGGCTATTTCCTAGCACGGAATGAACAAGAAACATAGAAGCACTCTCCTGCGCCCTGTACAATGGTGTTGTGCTGGCTTTAATCTCTGACCGAATGCGTTCTCGGGTCTCTCTCCTCGTTTCTGTTGTCACGGGCATTAAACTGTGTTGGTGCATGGTGTTTCGTTCCGTTCTTAGGGACAACCCGGTCAAGTTGGAGACCCAGGACCGAAGGGTGTTGCTGGAGAGCCCGTAAGTGATTCTGTAGAGCGTTTGGCGTTGTCTCCGCTGTCGATATCTACCCTACTGTTACTCTTTACTCTTTACTCTTGGCAGTCTTTACTCATGCAGTAGTGTAGTGTTCACGTCTACGTACGCGCTGTGGCATTCCTTGGCCACCCCAGGCATTCATGATGGTAATACGTTGTGTTATGTTATGCATCTAACATGTGCCGTTTCACGTGTGCGCGTGAAACAGACTTAGCGGCTTTTAGTTGCTGTGCATTAGTTGAGTCTGGACACTTACTGTGTTTTGGACTGGAGAAATAGAGAATATTACAAGTAGCTGTAGAGGAGCTGGATCTGTACCTTGATACTTAGTAAAGGGGTGGTGGTGTTCCTACGCATGTGGAAAACCCAGTCTGACTGGGTCTCACCCGAAGCGTGTGAAATTTAAATTTGTTACCTTTAGTCATGTCCTTCCCACGGTGCTTTGGCATCATCATTGAAGTACAGATATTATGCATCAACCGTACAACCCGGTGGCAAGAGACACACTACTCAATTGGTAACGAATCCTCTGTGTGTGTTTCCAACTTTCCATCTGTGTGTGTGTGTGTGTGTGTGTGTGTGTGTGTGTGTGTGTGTGTGTCTGTGTGTGTGTGTTTCCTCGGTGTGTGCATGTGTGTTTCTCTGTATAAGGGTGTAAATGGCGCTACTGGTGACACTGGAGCCTCAGGCCCACGCGGACAAGTTGTAAGAACTACTTACATACTCGCAGTGTACTATTATGTTCTGGCGTGGCACTACTATGTGTTTTAGTGTGCCTTGTGTATACAGTTGGGCGTGTGTGCAGGCATTATATATCTTTAGAATACAACATTACACAATTGCACACGTCTTGTTAATTACATCTTTGATACTTTACTTTGTTTTCTTTTTTGCAGGGTTCTCGTGGTGCTGACGGTCCTCCTGGCCCAGTTGGAGCTGCAGGAGAAAAGGTAGAGATGTCTTGCAAAGGCATGTGTTAACTCTCTCTCTTTTTCTGTCTGTCCGTCTCTTTCCTCCTCCTCCTCCTCCTTCTCCTACTCCTCCATCTCTCCTGTTTCTCTCTGTGTGTCTCTGTGTTTGTGTGTGTTTCCCTATCTATCTATGGCCCATCTATGTCTATCACTCTTTCTCAGCAGCTTTTCTTTTTGCTATTACTCGCTACTGCACACTCTGGGGAAGTCACCAAAAACCCAGCGATTCCACCCGCTCTGTATCTGCAGACTGTGTCCTGCAATGCTGGATGGAACAATTGTGCGGGTTTTGACCACTAATGTATATTTGTCTTCTGTTTGGTGTATTTGTATGCAGGGCTTCCTCGGAAAGCGTGGTCCAGAGGGTCCCGCAGGTCCCAAGGGTCAACTGGTAAGTCGGCAGTTCTACTGGACTTTGTTATTTTAGGCAAAGTCTTGCCTTTTTAATTTTGTGCCAATATGATGTTTTCGCATCCAGCACATACAGCACAATAATACAGGTGTGTAAATTTGTGTTTGAAATCAGATGTTGTAACACAGTTTTCTCTTTGCAATCCATTGTCTCTGCTGTTGCACTTTCAAGCCACTTTTTATGTCTTGAATATTGTGCACTGAATGACGATTCTGTCTGTCTGTTGCCCTCTCTCTCTCTCTCTTTCTCTTTCTCTCTCTCTCTCTCTCTCTCTCTCTCTCTCTCTCTCTCTCTCTCTCTCTCTCTCTCTCTCTCTCTCTCTCTCTTTCTCTCCCCCTCTCTCTCTCTCCTTCTCTCCCCTCGCACAAATTCTCTCTTTCTCTGTGTGTGCCGTGTGCCAACAGGGTGAAGAAGGATTCCAGGTAAGAGACAGCAGCCTTGGTGTTGGTTGGTTGGTATAATTATGTCAGTTTTACTTCACCAGAATGAGCAGGCATTGCTGCCTTCTTGCATGGACAATTGGATTCATTTCAGGTTCCCAATGAAAACTTCGCTTCAACACCTGTGCTTTGCCGTGCTATATTGACTGCCTGTTTGGAAGTTTGTCCTTCTGTTTGCCTTTCAATGTGCGCATGACCTGCCATTCTCTCCTGCTTGCCTGGATCACTTTACGCTATGTTTGTCTCACCCCACTTTTTTTAGTTGCAAATGGCATTGTTGATTCTGTCCTGCTGTTGTTTCTTGCCTTTGCCTGCCGTGTGTCTGATTGCAGGGAGCTAAAGGCGCTGCTGTAAGTATAGCCATTGGTCTGTGTAACAATTTGCAATCCTTGGGATGACTTACATCTATATGAATGTTGGGGGGGGGGGTGCGGGGTGTAGCGGCAATCCTTGCACATTGCACGACTACTGGCTGTGTTGGGGTGCACTGTTTATCAAGCAGACAGACATGCTGGAACCATCATGCAATCCCATTCTGTGGCATGTCACATGCCTCTTCTGCGTACAGTTGCCATGGTTTTAGGCTTATGTAAGCGGCTCAGAGTGGCCAGGCCTTTCACAACACCCCAAGCGCAAAACACACCAGTATTGATAACACTCTAGGAGGTGTTTCGAGTTGATAACGATACATGACTTGAGACCAGATTGGATATTTCTCAAGGACGACTTAAGGTGGATGGTGGTCAGGCTAATGTCTTTCAAGCCTGGCCCTGCCTGACCCAGCCCTAACCAACCTGACCCAGCCCTAATCGACCTGACCCAGCCCTAACCAACCTGACCCAGCCCTAATCGACCTGACCCAGCCCTAACCGACCTGGCCCAGCCCTAACCGACCTGATCCTGCCCTAATCGACCTGACCCAGCCCTAACCTAGCCCTAACCGGACTGACCCAGCCCTGACCCAGCCCTAACCGGACTGATCCTGCCCTAATTGACCTGACCCAGCCCTAACCTAGCCCTAACCGGACTGATCCAGCCCTGACCCAGCCCTGACCCAGCCCTAACCGGACTGACCCAGCCATGGGTAGCCTAGTCCACACCACGATGACATGTTGGTTGACCTAGCCCGGCCTCTTGCTGATTGGCCTGTGTGTGATTGTTTTTGATCTACTTCAGGGTCCACCCGGCCTTCAAGGTGAAATGGGACCCAAGGGTCCTGTTGGTCCCAAGGTAAATTTCTTACTCATACTCACTCACACCTCAGTAGCAATGTCGTACATGACAGAATCTCCCTACTAGATATCTTTCAGCTGCCCGACTCGAGAATGAGCCCCTACACTTTTCCGGCAGTTGTTATTTTAACCTTTCACGATTTGGACAGCATTTTGTTAGTTGTAACTGATTGATGTACATCCGTGTGTGAATGCATGCGTGCACTTAGGTCATCTTCCTATTGGGCAGATAGTCATGTGTCAAGCTGGTCCCTCTCAGGCCTATTCTCCCCCTCCCAAACTCTGGGGCAAGTGGTTGTCCTGCATATGTGTGATTGTGACGCTTGGCATCGAACAGTAGCTATGTGCCAAGAAATCTGCCTATGCAAGTGATGTACGTTTGTATTCAATGGGAGCTGCAACTGTTAGTTTCAGCTCTTTCATCAAGTCTCTTTTATTGTCTTGCAATATGGCTGTCCGCAGCCAACCCTGCACTCGTTATGGCTGATGTGAGGTGTGAGAAAGAAATGTACGCTTCTCGTTGGCTGAATATTTCAAATAAACAAGAAGTTGAATTTAGGACTATTCTCTGACGGCGATCTTGACTACTATTATGTGTTTGTGTTGCTCTTCTTGTCGCTATAGGGACCACCAGGAGCAGCAGGCGTAAGTGTTTCTCATTATGCTGTACTCTGCATAGTGCTACTGCTGTCTCCGTATCACCACTGTATTGTCCCTGGCTGATGTGTAGTTGGCACTTGTCTACTTCCTTCTGCTGTATGATAGGACTGTTCGATATTCACGTGGGCTTGCCGCACCAGTCTTTCTCAACCCTTTCCCAATGGTCAATTACAGCCTGCAGCAGCAGCCTGTTGCCCACAAGTTGTGCCAGTAGCCCATGTTTGGAATCTGGTTGGGCTGCAATCTTCAGTCGTTCCACACATTGTGTAACTTGAAGTTGCCACTCACTGCCTGCCGATGCTTTTTGAAGTGTGGACTGTATGACTGAGAGAGAGAGAGAGAGAGAGAGAGAGAGAGAGAGAGAGAGAGAGAGAGAGAGAGAGAGAGAGAGAGAGAGAGAGAGAGAGAGAGAGAGTGAGAGAGAGAGAGAGAGTGAGAGTGAGAGTGAGTGAGAGAAAGAGAGATATATCGAGAGAGGTTTTGATGATGCTAACCCCCTGTGCCTTGTCCATGTGTTCTGCAGAAAACCACCCCTGACTTCCGTCGTCGCCGCAGATCTGCCTGTGAGTAAAGCATTCCATCTGCTGTTATTGATAGTTCTACTATCTGACGATCACTTTTGTGTGAAACTCCAAGTTGCAACCAAACCTCATTCTGCCTCTAGAGTTCCTCAGTTATGCCTCCCGAGTATTGAGCACTCCGTGAACAGAGGAAGATCTCTGCTGTGTGTTAGCTTGCTTGAAGTGTTCACTGCATGCTACAAGAAATTCAATTGCCTGAGTTTGTGAAAGTTGACGTCACAGAGTTACTTATGTCTTCCTTTCCCTGCAACATGGGGTTTCTCGGCACTTATGCCAGTGATTGTGAGACTTATCCCCTCACCCCCACCGTTAGGCGCTGCATCTGCCGCTAGGGTTTACCGGGTGTTAGTGGCCACCATGAGTTCCCTTTGGGAACCGACACGATGATTTACTTTTTTTCCTGTGACATGTGCTGTCTGATTTCTTAGCTGAGGAAAGCGAGACATCGGATGACTTCCTCTCCAACGTCGCAGAACAGCTCCATGACAGCGTGAAGATGATCCGCGAGCCGCTTGGCACCACCGATTTCCCCGCACGCACATGCCAGGACCTGGCCCTCACCAGCCACAAGTTCAAGAACGGTAAGGCATTCATAGCATTCTTGTGGGGCCTGGGCCTGGGAAAGTGCATGGTGTTCCAAGCTGCCATCACAACTCTGCCAAGACAGCAGCATGTGCAGTGCTGTAGAATCGAATACCACGTATAGCAGCCAAACGTCACCACCCACGCTTGCATGGCTTATGCAGCACCTAACACTGACCACAGGTAACTGTTGTTGTCGGCTGAATTGCACTGTTCGACAATGCGGCTGCACATATATTTGTGCGAGTACCCGTGTTGAAGAGCAGCGTTCTTGTGGACAGGGCAGGTCGATTAGTGAAGTGAAATCTAGAAGCAAGTACATCTGGAGATGTTGTGATCCTACATGAACAATAATCCCCTGTTGGTTTTTGGAATGGACGTCTGATAGGTAGGTATGTTTACAGCTTCCCCTGTTGCTTGAGGTACCTTGCTGTCCAACGGTATGAATCCAGGTACAGTGAAACCTGTCTAAGCCGGCAGCTCAAGGGACCTTCAACATGTAGTCACCGTGTACAGGTGGTCTTCTTATCCAGTGTCATTTGACTGGAAATAGCATCCCTTGGTCCTGGTTGTAGGGGTCTTCTGGAGCAGGTGGTCGCCTTATCCGAGTGGTCGCCTTGACAGATTTTACTGTATGTTCTTTGTGTGTTCTTGTTGACTACAGGCTATTACTGGATCGATCCCAACCAGGGTGGCTCCCATGATGCCATGTCGGCATTCTGCAACTTTGACGGCGTGGAGGCGCAGACCTGTGTCAACACCAAATCAGTAAGCATATCGGAAGTATAGTGTACATAAGTAGTGCTACCCGCTGATTAGGGGTTTTCCCTGCGCTTGTTGTGCTACCCGGTGATTCGGGGTTTTCTCTGCGCTTGTTCCATGTGCCTTGCATTAGCGCATGAACAGCACACAGCTTGCACGTGCAATGACTGCTGGCTAGACTGTATGACCCTTATTATAGTGCTCAGATTGCATCCTGTTGCTCTATGCACATGTGTGGGACTGAACGGCGCTGCACTTTTGCACATGTGTGGGACTGGACGGCGCTGCACTTTTGCACATGTGTGGGACTGGACGGCGCTGCACTTTTGCACATGTGTGGGACTGGACGATGTTGCTTTCTTGTATGTCATGGGGCCAATGAAATGGGGTGTGCTTTCGTGTTCGGGTTACACTATAAGGGTGGTACGATCTTGTAGGGCTGCATGAATATAAAAATTATGCTCCCACATGGGAACGTTGTGAGGGCAAAGGTTAACCGTTATCCTCCCGACGAGTTGGATCAGGTTTCACAAACGCCGCCATATTTTTTGTTTGTGCTTACTCACAGCTGTCGGCTGGCTCATCTCAGCTGAGATTCCTCTCCCTGCTGCACACCTCATCCAAGCAGCAGCTGACGTTCACATGCCCACCCAACGTGGAGTGCGACTGTGGCTCCACACGCCTGCACACGTCCGACCAGGACAAGCTGGACTTGCAGAGCGACGAGGTCTACTCACTGAACAACGGCTGCAAGGTCAGTGACAAGGGGGTAGTGAAGTGAAGCGCTCAGTGTTATTGTAAACACTGAGTGCCTGCCCATTGAACGCCTTTCTCTTTGCACCGGTTGCAAAGCTGATCTCTGAATATTCCTACACGCGCTTCCTCACTGAATCCTCAGACATGTGGTGTCCCCGAGTCATGTGATGTCCCTGAATCATGTGACCTTCCCTCAATCGTGTGACCTTCCCTGAGTCATGTGACCTTCCCCAGTCATGTGACCTTCCCCAATCACGTGACATTTATACATTAAATACAGAATACAATACCGAATAACTACTGTGCTCTGGTTGTTGATCTGCCTGGTCTGCTTTCTTTAATTCATTGATTCAGGAGAACAAGTCCAGCACCGTGGAGGTGCAGACAGCGTGGATGAACCGTCTGCCCATCACAAAGGTGTCGGACGCCAAGGACAACCAGTTCTCCGTGAAATCAACAGACGTCTGCTTCTATTGAGTCGAGTAAACTGGTCGTCTTCTATCACTCTCTCTCTCATCCCAGTCTCCCAGTGAGGAGGCTGGAGCGTGAAACAACCTGGACCGCCCAGTGACCAGCAATTTCCCTTATTGGATACAGTGCGGACATCGAAAGCACATCCGGTGTTTTCGGATTCACACAACTAGCAAACAGTCCACACACACGCACACACACCACCACCACTGCCGCCATGCGCGGTTTTCACTAACAACCGAGCATGCACATGCACACACGCACGCACACACATGCGCACACTCGCACGCCAAACTCATTCACTACTAGTTCGGGGCAGACTACGTGGCCGTTCAGCCTCCGTCTTCTGCTCGGCATCTTTTCACGCCTAGCTGCTGGGTCAGCATCGCACTCAGCTCTCTCTCTCTCTCTGTCTTCCCGCTGTTGCCCTTTGTAAATCTCCAACCCTATTTGCATGCTGTTCAGTCTCAGCTTTGGCTTGCTAACGATTTATTTTTTCATGAGTTGACCACCTAAATTGTCTTTCAATCTTACAGCCACAAACACCATACGATACTCGACTCTGAACTGCAGTTATCATTATCACTATGCCTGCAGACTAAAACTCGTAATGGCCGTCTTTCTGACTTGCGCTACAAGCTTATCAGTGTTTATAACGTTCTCTGCTATGATTGCCTGGACCGCCGCCGTGTTGTCCGGCGCTTGTTGGTCTTGTCGTTTTTTGATCAGCTGCTACCAGCTCGTTCCACATGTTGCAATGTCTACAGTTTCTGCAATGTGAAGTAGACCTGATGAATGGTATGGAGCCATGGCAACTGAGCGGATGGTTAGCTTAGGGGCAAGATGGTGGTCGTGGTAGTGCCGGGTGGGTACATTGGTCACCGCCGACCCAGTGGAAGTACTCCGCCGGATTTCTAGGCCCTATTGAACCTTCCTGGCGGCAGGAGTCGAAGAACAAACAGGCAGTGTTGCCTTATTACATGAGATCGACTGCAGGCACGTCAGCGCACCGTTACTTATCACGCGAAGTTGAGCAGCGGACCCCAGCTGATGTATGTGCTTTGGAGGGCCGGGGCCGGGGGGGGGGGGGGGTAGGGCACTGAGCAAACACTGGGAATGGAGCTCACGTGTCACGATCCACACCGTAGTGGCTGGTCTACTCGTTGCGCCCAGGTCAGATCATACTGACTGTACAGGCCGCATTCAATGCGGCACCGTGATCGGTCCCGGTCCGGCGGTGCAACACTGGTACACTGCAGCCCCTCCCCACCCCCCACCCTTCCCCCTGGGTTGTGTGTCCCATACTACCCTTAGCATTAGCAAGAGTACGTAAGCTCCCTGTGATCTTTAGCTCCTTGCCCTTGGACTTAAGTTAGGATCGGGAGGACTCCGCTCAAGTTCTTCTTTGAAATCGGCTTGTCACGGTTTTTGCTATCAAGGACTCAGTGCCGGAGCTTTTACTAGACCATGGAGTAGTAATTTACCGGTACTTTACTACCCCCTAACCTCCAAGATCAAAGAGGACGCGCCGCAGCCAGGGCCGCACCCCCGCGGCCCGTTTTGCACAGCTGCTTGTGAACTTTTTGAAATGAATTTATTTTGTACACGTATTGTTGTAAAGAGTTCGTAACTCATTCACCGAGCGTAATTATTGGTTCCAGTCCACCCTTCAATGCACCTTCTTGGATGATGATCTACAACTGTTGAAAGGCAAGTGATTTGTGGCATCAGCGAACGGAGCATGGTAAGTGGAGAATCAGTCTGGGTGAACTTGGAGATTTTTTTGCGATTCAACGCTTCTTGCTGGTCGATCGTCTTCTGCAGGCTTTACTCGGCTTTCATCTTACTGCGTCCGTAATTGCAACTCTGTTCCTGCATAGGGTGTTAGTGTATATGCCCGTTGTGAACTGGCTGCTGTCAGGGTAAGGACTTAGGACGTAGAAGAAATGTGCAGACACGTTTGTAGTTGCTAGTTTGGAACTTGTAAACATCTCGTAGAGAAGACAGTACTGTTATGATTTGCTGCATGTATAAATTATATGCAAGACATATTTATTAATCCTTCAGGAGCAAATGGATGCCTGTCTAGGATGTTTCAACTTTCAAACGAAATGAACTGCAGTGGACTGAATGCAGAGGGATAGATAGGACAGTAAAGAGAACTAGACTCATACCTCGTTTCTCCGGGCGGTCTGGGACCGGACACTGCCCGTAACTTTGAAATGTCCGTAACTCCGAATCACACACCTTGTGATGGGGAAATGCCATAGATATGGCATATGACGTCACTATTTCCACAGAAAATGCCAAAAGAGTAGTAATATTTCCACTGTAACTCACCCAAAGGGTGCCCGGTAGACCGAAGTGCCCGTAACTTCACACACACACACACACACACGCACACGCACACACACACACACACACACACACACACACACGCGCAGGTAGAGGGAGAGGGAATCAATTGGTATTCAGATAAGGACGGCAAACAGACCGACATCTGAAACGGCAGTGTGCATCGCGAATGGTAACAAGCAGGTCGGGGGGCTAACTGCGTGAAGCAGTTGAGAATTGAAAGTCAGTACCTACTGCATTATTGCTACTAGCACTGGCTATCACCGCTTTGAAACCATCACAATCTACAGTGTACTGTGATCAAATGATCTAGGCAGCCAGCCAGTCTACACTGTTCACACATGAATCTGCTTCAGACTACAGTGTGTAGTGTGATCATAAAGGGCATACACAGTGCTATACTATAGCCACATACTGTGTACTACATACTGCACCATTATGTTGTATTCTTTGTTTAACGTCTACACCAGATTTCAGTGCCAGTCGCGGCATAGTGGTGTACACTAGCGTGACTTGCTGCTCTGTATGGCTGGCTGTATATAGCTGCTCATTTGCCTAGCTTGCACATTGGACGATGGCAAAATTGCCAAGTGTTGTTAAAGGGGAAGTACATGTATACCCTAAAGTCAAATTTTCACCAGTTGTAGTCTTCGGGGTGCTGAGTCGAATGGTCTTGGTCCGAGGACGCTGAGACGCTCCCTTCCTCCTTTATTCCCAATCGAACTCGCGCACTTCCACCGAAACTGGGTGACTGCGCCCTACTAGATAGGGATTTGTATGGGGAAAGTCACAAAAAACGCCGTTTCGTTCTTATAAAAGCGCGGATGACTGCGATTGGTCCATATGTTGTAGTCTTTTCGCCGCTGAGTCGACTGGTTTTGGTCCGAAAAGGCTGCGATGCAGCATTCGGCCCTTATTTCCAATCGAACACGGTTGAGTAAGGGGTCACGTGCTCATTTACAGCCTGTTTGGGCCCGTTTATGTCACTCGAGTTGAACCTTTGAACCAGGGAGTCATAAAAGCCTCTTACGACTCCCTGCTTTGAACCTTTGAGTTGAATCTTGATGTGAAAATTGTACTCTGCAGGCACGGTGACCAGCGACTGGTGTACGCATGAGCACGTGACCGCTCACTCAACCGTGTTCGATTGGGAATAAGGGCCGAACGCTGCATCGCAGCCTTTTCGGACCAAAACCAGTCGACTCAGCGGCCACAAGACTACAACATATGGACCAATCGCGGTCATCCGTGCTTTTATAAGAACGAAACGGCGTTTTTAGAGACTTTTTCCATACAAATCCCTATCTAGTAGGGCGCAGTCACCCAGTTTCGGTGGAAGTGCGCGAGTTCGATTGGGAATAAAGGAGGAAGGGAACGTCTCAGCGTCCTCGGACCAAGACCATTCGACTCGGCACCCCGAAGACTACAACTGGTGAAAAATTGATTTTTAGGGTACAGTCAACTTCGCCAATAACGACATTCGGCGGGGCATCAGAAAAGTGTCCTTATTCGCGAAGTGTCCTTATAACCGAAGTCCCATTTGAATGTATGTGAACCCATATTTTGTATAGTATGACATGCATATCAAAATCAAACTCTTTTCTTGCTTTATGTCAATGTGTACTTTATTTTCATATTGCAGTTGAAAGGAACTAAAAATTCAATATGCAAGGGAAATCAATTGAAAAATATGCCTTTTTGAGGCATCTACAGGGCGAGAGACATGTACATGTACATGTACATGTATGATGATTACTGTACAATCATGTACAACTACATGTACATTGTATACATAATAGGTGTGCTGGTAAATCCAACAATTTTGAAGCCTGGCAATATGGCGGTAAACACACGCCTGCCCACACACGCTCTCTAGGCTGCAAAGTTCTGGCACAGAGCTCTCCTTCTCACCACCACCACCATCAGTTCGCGCCTGGCGCCTGGTCGATGCATGGCTGGCGGTATCCGGCATAGCAGGCTGGTACATCAAGTAGCGCATGGCACATAGATGATGACACAGCAACTACATAGCTCGATTGCGACGTACGTTTCGTCCCCGCTGGACTCATCAGGCTATCTTCTTCTTGGATGTCTTCATACGAGCTTGACTCGGGAGAATGAAGTCGAAGACACCACTGCAGCTGTACTTATGGTTGATAAATATGGTGGTAAAGACGGTGGTAAAGACACATTGCCAGGTGTGTCTTTACCACCATATTTATCAACCATAAGTACAGCTGCAGTGGTGTCTTCGACTTTATTCTCCCGAATTTTGAAGCCAACATAAAAAGGAAGAAAAAGCCCCCCCCCCCCCCCCCGGCCCCTTGGCTGCATTTTCTTGCATGTGTGCCTTTATAATAATATCCATCACCATAGGTTCTCGTACTTCTGCATGATAGGTACCTGTACTTGACTGACAGGTACTTGAAATAGCTGTCAAAAGCCCAGAAAGTCGTTATTCAAGCAGTGAATATGACCTCGGGGCACTAAAAGCATGTCGCTATACGCGAATTGTCGTTATTCAGATAGTCGTTATACCCGAAGTAAAATGTATACAGTTAGATGGGACTTTGCTCTGGGCATGGAAATTCGGTCGTTATTCACGAATTGTCGTTATATCCGCAGTCGTTATTAGCCAAGTTGACTGTATACTTCCCCTTTAAAATTGATATGAAGCCGCCAGTGTTTTGCAGAGTGATGGGAATCAGCTTGAATCCGGAATACCTTCCTATTAGAAGTACAGTAAAACCTGCAACTAAAGACCACCGTGACTAGCGACCAGCCTGGTACTACAGACCACTTCGCCAGGCACGGACGCTCTCACATTCATATACGGTTGTGTGGTGCAAACCTCTAACTAAGGACCACCTGCCACTAAACTAAAGACCACTTTCTCTGGCCCCAGGGGGTGGTCGTTAGTCACGGGTTTTCCTGTAGATGTAATCTATCACAACTAAGCTGTCTGTGCGATTCGTCGGAACAAGAGAACACATTGTATCCTGGGAAAAATGGGCTAGATTGAGGATTTTTGTAGATCTCTTGGCTTCCGTCTCGCAGGGAGAGAGCTGTATTTCCTTTCTTGACCTGTGCTTTGTAGTTTACTAGTTTGGACGGTGCCTGGCAAGGCATACCTCAGTGAATATGTGCAACTTGCTGAGAAGACATCTAACGGTACTGGGGCCAAGTCCAAATCGCTGCGCAAGAATGCGGCTGAGAAGCGGTAAGGAGGCCTGCTGCTGCTGTCGCTGTGACCTTTGTTGTTTGTTTGTTGCTGCTGCTGCTGCTGCTGCTGCTGCTGTGTTGTTGTTGTTGTTGTTGTTGTTGTTGTTGTTGTTGTTGTTGTTGTTGTTGTTGTTGTTGTTGGTGGTGGTGGTGGTGGTGGTGGTGGTGGTGGTGGTGGTGGTGGTGTTGTTGTTGTTGTTGTCGTCGTTGTTGCTGCTGCTGCTGCTGCTGCTGCTGCTGCTGTTGTTGTTGTTGTTGTTGTTGTTGTTGTTGTTGTTATTGTCTTTGAGTATCCTTTAGACCGGTGACAAGTAGGCATGGTGTGTCGTTTGTGGTCCGTGGCTGCTCTGCGGACTTTTGCTATTGTTGCGACTTGACGTTCATCTGCCGCTTCTACAATTTGCTGGCCGAGTGTTTGAGCTCGGCACATTGTTATGTTGTGCTTTGAAGCTACCCATGTAGCTACAGTGCTTGGATTGTTTTGTCTGATATAAAATTGAAAGCAGACAGATTAAAAGTTCGTGCACGCTCTTGTGCAGTTTGCCCTGTGTTGTGTGTTTAGTGGTGATCCATGCTTGACAGACGCTGGTATTCTTTATCACACTGTCCTGAGTGCTGTAATGTGTGAGGTGTAGCTATGGCTCCACCTCCTCTTGCATGTTACTAGCACATGAGCTTGTTCACCAGGCATGGCGTCTCTTTTGTTTGAGCTTCCTTTGTTTTTCCTTTCGTGTGCTGCGTACCTTTTCATCTCAGCAAGAACCAGCAGCCTTCATCCGCGGCGGAGAAGGACATCGACTTGCCGAAGGATCTTCCTCTGCCACTGCTGCCTGTGAAGGTATAGCCACCTTGGCCATCGCTTTTCACTTATAGAGAGTAAATTTTGAACACCAAAACCATCACTGCGTTGTTGTCTTGGCCGGCCAACAGGTCTTGTAACTTTCACACTGCCAGCTCATAGCAAGGACACACTTTTGTTGACGATACCGGTTAGTTATTCCAGCCTCCAAACCGGTTTAGTGCTCCTCAGTTGATGTTAATGAGGTGTTGAATGAATGAAGCACCGCACAAATGCTGCTTTGTAGGCTTTCTCGGCTCCATTGTCCGCTTGATGCATACAAATGTGGCTAGAGAAATGTGACGTGCAGGGGCTTGCGAAAGTGATAACAGCAGCTTCCTTGTGCCTCTTTGGTGTGTTCTTTTGCAGCTGAAATCTCAAGATTCAGGTGTCTTGCTTTACTATGATGAGCTCTTCACCATTCTCAACATGGCGTTGGTTGCAGGTCTTGTGTTCCTAGCGTCCGAAGTGTTCCAGTCGCTCTATCCGGCCAAGTGGCTGGCTGACGTGAACCTGACTGTCGTCTGGCTGTGCCTGGTGCTCGTGTACTGCCTGTATCCACCTGCCATGCCGTGCGTGCGTATATGTGTGCAGGTATGCACAGCACTGCTCAATGAAATCCAGTCGCGTCGCTCAAGTACACGCCGGGTGCTGTGCAGCCCTAGACCTGCGAACACCGGGCTGCGGAATCATCGGATGCAAGGCCCAAACTTGAGTGACGCGACTGGATTTCATTGAGCAGCACTGTATGCATGCATCATGTGTGATTGAGAGAGTATGGCCTAGTGCGGAGCTCACCTGCTTCAAAAAAAGAAGTAGTACGTACTCTGATAAGACATACTCGTGCTTAGTGCGGACAGTGTTCGGAGCACGGGTGTATTGGTAGGATACGACGCAACTCAGATACTAAGAACACATGCCTGTTGCCCACGGGGGTACATCTTTTCAGAGTTGCACTGTATGTGAATAGTTCAGTTCTGCATGCCTCTACTGCTACTAAGTGTATCGAGTTTCCTCGCTCGATATTGGCCATGTTACTGTAGCGGGTATTGGATGTGCAGCAATAGACATAGAGTAGTTTTCACTGTGTGCCGTGTTGCAGCTAAATTGCAGTGTCCCCCCCCCCCCCTCTCTCTCTCTCTCCCTCTCCTCTCTCTCCTCTCTCTATCTGTCACGGGGATATGGTGTTCATGCGGAATGCATGCCATGACTTCTTTAACATGATAGTACGTCCTTGACTGTTAACACACCATTCCGCAGGAAAATGCTGACTCAGCTCACATGGCTGGTTGTGAAGGCTAACCGCCTTCAGTCGGGCGAGCGTACCCTTATCCTCCTGACGGGTGTCTGCTTCTTCCTTCTGGCCATACTAACGATGGTCTTGGATGGCAGCTGGCTGGACCTGAAGCTGGATCGTGGTATGTCAACTTGTTTTGTATTCACAGTGGTTTGAATAGCGCTACAAGCCGTACACTTGCAGGAGGTATGAAAGGCAAAGCCTGAACATTCGACTACATTGAGTTGAGAGACGCAGGTTTTATGGCACAAATCCACAGCATTGCTAGCTTCGTTACAGTGAAGCTAGACTTTCTGGAAGCTAGATGTAGCTGTTCAATGTTCATCCACACCTTTCTTGTCTGTGCTTTGAAGTACAAGAATTGTGCAGCGTGGACTGGAGTGTGTCTGCGGTAGAATAGAAATGTCTTCCTGGTGCTGATTTCTCCAAATGCGAAGACTCCACTATGCCCATACATCTTCACGGCACTCTCCAAACGGTCTCTGGCCTATACTAATCGCTAAAAGAAAAAAGAGATAATCATTCCTAGTGCTGTGCAGAGTAAATCCCTGCTTTCTCTCTCTCTCTTCTCTCTCTCTCTCTCTCTCTCTCTCTCTCTCTTTCTGTGTTCTGCTTTGCAGGCCTAGCCCAGCTAGTCAGCGTTGTGAAGAATGATGGGAAAGTGCAGCAGAAGAGAGTGTAAGTGGGTCTTTCCACTCTACATCCTCACCTTTTTTTCCTGGATGAACCGATGTTGCGAATATAAATCCATTTAGCCCCCAATGAAATTAGTGAGATTTTGCCTTCCGAATTTCAGTTTTGACGTTCTTCGATCATTTGTCGAACATCAAATGTCGAATTTTCGCACCAACGTTTGTTTTTGCAAGTTGAACATGATGTGTTTTCATTTCGTGAGCTCCAGCATCAGCAACGTCCTGTCCCGTGCTCCTTTTCTTGCTGATTCCAACGAACTTTGATCGCCGAAAGAGTCGAGGCCGAAACCTGCCTCCTCAGTCGCCTCAGAAAAACCAACTCCATGGCCAAGTCAAATTTTATGCGTATCGCCATAGTCCTTTCAGCCACACAGATGACGGTGAGGACACTCCAGGTGAAAGGGAGTAGACAGGCAGTGGAGAGGAGCAATCGGAGGTAGCTGACGATGCTGATTTTGCCGAAGACGCCTGCGAAGCCATGCCGAGATAAGAAACCTCTTTGAATAAATCACGCGCTAGCACTCTTCTACAAGAAAATTCATCTTAAAAATATTTTTGGCAAAGGAGCTTTTTCCGAAGAAACATGCCGAATCTTCGTGTGCATTTTCGACCTCGCTCCTGCGTGCCGAATTTTTTGCCGAATTTCGGAATGCAAAACCTCACTAATGATGATGGTGATGTCATGCTCATTTGTGCATGGTCTCGGTGCTTTCTGATAAGCTCATGCACACACCCACACACACCCATGCGCACGCACACGCACACACACACACACACACACACATATGCCCACATATGCACACGCACACACACATATGCACACACACACACACACACACACACACACACACACACACACACACACACACACACACACACACACACACACACATACACATATGCACACATATGCACACGCACACACACATATGCACACACACACACACACACACACACACACACACACACAGATGCATGTAAGGTCACTTCCTTCTTGGTATTTGCTTTATTCTACAGCTCCAATTTATTCTACTTGTTGAAAGCGCTGGTGGCGATCTCTGCTGCACTGTTCGCCTCAACTCTCGCCTTTCCTGCTCTGCGACTGGCACGTTCATACTTGGGAGCGCTGAAGAGAAGCAGCCTGCTCGGCCGGTCAGTCCGAACTCAGGTTGTGTGTGTGTGCGTGTGTGTGTTCGTGTGTGTGTATGTGTGCGCGTGAGTGTGTGTGTATGTATGTACACAGCATGTACGTATGTGGACATGTGCTGGATGTGTGGGTGGGTAGCCATGTGTGTGACGGTGACAGTGAGTGGAACGTCTGTGCTATTGTCTGTACGAGAGTACTAGTACGGGCCATCCAGAGTGCAGAAGCACTGTGATAGATTTGATCAGACATTACAGTTTGTTGGTTGAGTTGGCATTGGTTACAACTTACCACCAAAAAAAGCACTGCGTCGTGTTGAACCTTGATTGCAAGAACACTGTACGGACTCTCGCATCCACGACGCTGCAGTAATGTTTTATTCGTCTCTCTATATCAGTGGTAATTGTATGGTATGACACACTGATAAGGATTCATGTTCTGAGTTCTGACGAACTGACTTGCTACTGCCCTACTTACCCGGACAGGATTTGACTTGAGCTTGTGTGCATTTTCTGTGTGTGTTCAGGCTTCTCTGCCAGGCGGTGTTTGTCAGTCCTCTGCTGCTGCTGTTGCTGTGGGTGCCGCCTCTGACAACCGGTGTCCTGTTTCCCGACGGTCATGATCCGCTGATTCCCGGGTACGCGATCTAATGTACTATCCCAATCCCGATGAACTGGCGTGGAGCGAATTTCATGATGAAGCGAACCATTGTCCATGTCCCTTTTTGAATCCATACCAAATTCACCCTTTGTAGCAAACAATTTTCGTTTATAATGAACCTTATACCTCACTCCATATACACCCACAGTCTTAGGCATGCCCTCCCTTAGTAGTGTATACATGTGTATCTCCATATACACCACTAAGGGAAATTAGCAGTAGTTGTCGGCGAGGAACAAGCCATTAGGAGGCCACACACGGTGAATATGGAGAGGTATAAATATATTATAACAAAGGGACCTCGTGTATATCGAGATGTACACTCGGTCCCTTATTGTAATCTACAGGGTTCGCAGCGAAGTTTGGAAGTCTGGAAAAAGTTTGGATTTTATAATTCAATTTTCCAGGTCTGGAAAAAGTTTTGAAAAGGCGCCCCTTTTGGAATAGTTTGGAAAAAGTTTTGAATTTCGAGTTTTTGGCCGTGGATGTGCTGCACTCCTGCAAGTGGCCGTTTTGACTACCGCGATAGAAGACGCGCTGGCGATGTGTGGTGTTCACTGATGTACGAGTCTCGTACAGTCATTTCAGTGCAGCTCAAGCGCGGCCGGTGATGACTAATATGGCCGTTTTTCGTTACTGGCGCTCGCGCTCGACTTTGATTCTTTGAAGTCGGGACAGCAGGATGGCGAGGTCCTTTCGCACTCAGATGAGTTTGCTGGCGAGGATGAAGCCGTCTTTTGCGCTGAGACGAACACCAGCTATGTAAATGTTTCATTGGAACCCCTTCTGGAGGCGGATTTGAACTTACGGAGGGGAACTCTCGTCGTATGAATTCCCTTGCTATTTTCGGGGGCTCTAGCTGCTGAAGGCGATGCCATTGCAATGTACCTTGGTGAATTTGTTGATGGTAGTGGTACCAGGGAGGATTTTACTACTCCCTGGTTGTACTCGTAGTGGAGAAGACAGTTATGCAGAAAAGATTCATATTATTTATTTTTCCCGCACGAGTGGGTTTGGAAATTCTTGAAATTGGTTTGGAAAAAGTTTGGAATTTTGTGTGCTTGGTTGGCTGCGAACCCTGAATCTATACATATCGTGAACATGTGGGCGAGCATGTACATGTAAACCAAGTGCACTCATACAGTCATGCGCCACATACCAGTCATGACATGTTGGTTGCATGGTGTGAATGTGTTTCTGTTACAAAGAACTTTGGCTATAAAGGACCAATTCTCCTGCACAACGGTGTTTGTTGTATCAGGAGTTGACTGTATAGTGTGAAGAGCTCTGCTTTCCTAATAGGGTTGAGGCACCCTGCAGCTTCATAACTCAAAGAGAAGCGGCGAGCACACATGCGTTTTCCCTGGGCACTGTACGCGTATTAGTTCACAACTCAGTTCACTGTATCATCATGGGTGTTTCAGCTAATTGCATGCATCAGGATGCATCTGCTTTGTTGAGTTACTATAGTCATGCCATTGTTGTCCTGTTGCTGCTGCTGGTGCTGCTGTGTTGTTGTTGTTGTTGTTGTTGTTGTTGTTGTTGTTGTTGTTGTTGTTGTTGTTGTTTGAAATCTTTTATTCTCACGATGGCCTGTGGCCAATAAGAGAATGTTGTTGTTGTTGTTGTTGTTGTTGTTGTTGTTGTTGTTGTTGTTGTTGTTGTTGTTGTCGCACTGCAGCCTGACACTGGCACAGTACGAGCACTTGCGTCTGTTGCTGGTTCTGCACTACTGTGCGATGCGCCTGCTGATGTCACGCTGGCACTTGCAGATGTACCTAGACGGCGCGCATCGGCACGTGGAGGCGCGCCGCCAGGCCACGACGCGCTTCACCGCGTCCAAGTTCGACACTGCGGTGAGTGGTGGCGTGTGCTGGCATGATGCAAGCAATGCCATGACCCTCATAAAGGCTTCATATCAATACAAGTTAGACACAGTGGAACGAGGCTAAAATGTGTTGCTGTTGCTGTTGTTGTTGTTGTTGTTGTTGTTGTTGTTGTTGTTGTTGTTGTTGTTGTTGTTGTTGTTGTTGTTGTTGTTGTTGTTGTTGTTGTTGTTGTTGTTGTTCAATAAAGCCAATCATCAGACAACAATGATTAACTTGATTTCAAGAATGATCTGAGCCCAATTCATGCTTCGCGTGCTGGAAACGTGGCGTAATGCCTGTTGCTGCAAAAACGTGACCTCGAGCTCAACCTGTTTGTGTGGGTGTACCTGTGGGCGTGTCCGTGTTTGTGAATGTGTGGATATGTATGGGTGTGCGAATGCGTGTGTGTGTGTGTGTGTGTGTGTGTGTGTGTGTGTGTGTGTGTGTGCAACTTGGTTACGTTGCCCCGCTTCTGTGCATGCGCTGTGTGTGTGTCCTGTACAGATGCGCACGATGAACAGCAGTCTGGCTGTCGTGGCCCTGCAGATTGTCTGCCCCGTCATTGTCTTGCTAACATGCGTCGCCATCTTGCACAGTGCTGGTAAGAAAGACACCATGTACATGTGTGTTACTGCATACACCAGCTGCCCTTTCAGTACACAGTCGAATGGCGCTAATCCCTTAGATGTCCCTGTTCCAACCAATTCAAGATGGGGGCTGGTTGGGCCACTGAATTCGATGAATAACTGGTACCATTTCTAACAGAGTAGTTGGAACGGTTGGTTGTGAGTCTGGGTCTTCACGCTGAGCGATCATCAGGCAACACTTGCTGGTGGTACACCATATGTAAAAGTATAGTGCTGGCAGCTGAAATCCGACCCCTGAGCTCACATCGCAAAGACCCAACACGGGATTGTGAAACTACGACATAGAGACCGCTAGAATGTGCACCACACCGCTCAGGGGGTCGGATTTCTGTTGCCAGTACTGTAGCTTTACTGGCCGCTGTACATCAAGTGGGTAACAGTGGTGATGCTTTCTGCAGTAGAGTCTACTCTCGATAAATCTTGGAGGCGAAAATGCTTGACTCATCACGAGTGCGCGACTTACATATTATACTGTGTGTGCACATCTTTATGAAGCCTGATGATGTCATAGCATGAAACTCAGAGTGGCAGCAAACTAGCCTTGTGCCTTGTTCCGTCTTCATGTACACATACAAAGGCAATATACCCTGTGACTGTACTGGCCCTGGTATGATTGCCTAATATCACATATCAGACCATCGGTTCCGCCCGGGTGGCTTTGACATTGCCATGCTGACAGGATCAATGGGCGCGTTCGATTACACACATTTTGGTCGGTTCTAGAATTAGTTATGGTGGATGCACCGTTCAGTTACACAAAATTCCGTCGTCAGAATCGACGGAATCCAATTCCGTCTATTCTGAAGAGAGGGCGGGGCGGGAATTGCTAATTCTCTCGCCAGATTTGACGCACTCGACGTACACGCCATGCTAGGTCCACGGGCGTGTACGGGATCCCACGTGATCCCCTCTCACGATTTTTACGTGTAGTCGTTCGTTTACATGGCCACAATCTGTTTATTCTGTTCATTCGTGAATTATAAAACCTGCTTCCAGAATGTGTAATCGAAAGCGCCCAATGTTTCTCAACTGGTAGTGATCCATCCTCGGCCCGGAAGTGAAATTTTCGTGTTCTGGCAGATTGGTGTGGCTAGTGGAGCAGCGGCTAGTTGTGTTCGAGACGTGTCCAACTCAAAATAGCTGTCATAGAGCTGCTGGAGAGAAGACATGTTAACTTGAGCGGAGGGAGTTATTTTAGTACCCTGGTTTGTCGGTCTCAGGCGTGCTAGGCTAACTGGCAACCGGGAAAGTGACATTAAACAGTGTACGTTTGCTTTGCCATCACCATGGATCCCCCCACCTGCATTGCATATTCGGTAGTTGTGTTGTTGGTCCTCACAGTCACTCCTTTTTGCGAGTTGGGCATGTAAATCTGCCAGAAAATAAACTGAGATTTGCTTGATGGTCATGCCGACTTGTCCACTATGCCATCTCTCCTCATCATCTTACACCTGTTTACCTATGCTGATCTCCTTGCTTCTGTCCAGGGAACTTCTCCTGGACTGGTGAATATCACGTTGCCCCGCCAGCAGCACCAATCAATCACACAGAGAGCACGGGCAACAGCTTCCGACTGGTGTCGAGATTGCCGTCACTGATCCAGCTGCTGGTACCGATGGACTTCTTCGCTGCCGTTGTCTCATTCTACACGGTGTGGACACTGATAGCTATCTCTGTCACCACCTTTCTCGGGTTTCTCTACGCCAACTTTGTAGAGAAGGACATAAGTAGCAGCACACTGGTCAGGACTGGGGCGTGATGTCGTCGCAGTGGCTGGCAGCCAGGACTGGGGCGTGATGCCGTCGCAGTGCCTGGCAGCCAGGACTGGGGCGTGATGCCGTCGCAGTGCCTGGCATCAGCCTCAGCACGCTGTGAAGGTGTATTACTCCTCTGCTGGACTACATGCCTACTGTTGCCAGCTTGGCTGGTGTGGTGCGTATACAAGCTTGCGATTCCCTGTGCTGCAGTGCCATGAAGATGTTCTATTGTGGGACGCTATTGAGCCAAATTTGATACTGGATGGCCGTGCCGGTGCAGGTGGATGCCAATGCGTGCAGTGCACCTCAACACACTGTCCATCTCCTACTTCAACGACCAGCGCTTCAAAACGAGCGTGTTTTGCCACCCAAGGTATGACCGAGTGACCGGGTTGCTACGTATTGGCTGGCACACGTAATGGATCCACCACGTATACTGTCACTGCCTCGAGCAAACTGGTGGTCATCGAGGGTACATTGTAATTGTGTCAATGTCAGTGTTTCGGCAGGTCGTATGCTAGGCCTCATACTTTGGCTTGATTTGACTTGATGGTGTCCGGTGCTGGAAGTCGCCGCCGCTCTCGCTTTTGCCGCATCTTGTCAGGTAGGACGATGCCCTGTGCTGACAGTCGCATGTCTTGAGAGTGCTCGTGTGTGTGTGTGTGTGTGTGTGTGTGTGTTTGTGTGTGCGCATGTGCACGTGTGTGCGTGCATTTCAGTATGCTTGCTGCCAAACGAAACACTCGCGGTTTTTTTCTTTCTTTTTAAATTATTCAGCCCGGAATTACTTTATAGTGGTTAGTTTTTGTGCAAGTCTCGAAGTGATGCCGCTAGCGTGTCTTGTCTACTTTCCCTTTACCACAGTCTTGGATACGTTCAGCTGCTCTTGCTCTGTGGGTGTGATGGATTTTTTCCCCCGGTATGCTATCTGTTATCAGCCTAAGCTCTAAGAATCTTGCTGCCACTGCGGCAGGTGGAAAAGAGTGTTTTAAAACAGCATACCGGTATGCCAATAACATCGTGCAGTGTCGAGTGGAGTCTGTTGTACTTTTAGTGTAGCGGTTACCGAAGGGTTTCACATCTTTGTTATGTGACTACATGTGTGTAGAAAGGGATCATGGCATGTAGACACTGGAACCAACATGGTCAACATCATACAACCAAGAGTATTATAAGCCCCCAAGAGCGTGCAACTTCTGATATAACACCCTTTCTATGGGGTTCCTTCCTTTGTACGTACAAAAAGAAACGTACCCGAGACATTCTGGCATTATAGTGACTGGACATCAGTGTCTTAGTGGTCAATGCACCCTGGTATAAATGTCTGGCCTCGTGGCCTAATGGATAAGGCGCCAGCCTCCGGAGCTGGAGATTGTGGGTTCGAGTCCCATCGAGGTCGATAATTTTTTTCTTTTTTCTTTGCTGCATCTGCAATTCTGCACACATTCAGTGTACGACAAGGAGTTTTTCTTGTCTACAGTCCATTTCAAAACTATAGACGCGCGTACCTACAGTCCATTTCAAAACTATAGACGCGTACCTAGGCAAAAACCGTTATGCCAGCATCTATACCACATAAAATCTGTGATCACTTTGTGCATAAAATTTTCCAAATTGGGCGTCTGTTATCCAATCCTTTAGAAACTATATGAGAGTAATTGTGGAGCGATCCTGAGCAATATTCCGAAAACTATTCTCAAAAAGTTCCAGCCAAATTTGAAATATTTCTAAAACCCTACGCGTCTATAGTTTTGAAATGCACTGTAGGCAAAAACCGTTACGCCAGCATCTATACCACATAAAATCTGTGATCACTTTGTGCATAAATTTTTCCAAATTGGGCGTCTGTTATCCAATCCTTTAGAAACTATATGAGAGTAATTGTGGAGCGATCCTGAGCAATATTCCGAAAACTATTCTCAAAAAGTTCCAGCCAAATTTGAAATATTTCTAAAACCCTACGCGTCTATAGTTTTGAAATGGACTGTAGGTCGTAGTGACTCCCTTTGCTGCTTTTCGAACCGGCTCACATTACCATTTTACCGTATCACTGAGGTAATTTCTCTTGTGCATTGCTGCTTGCCGTACAGCAGGTGAAAATGCACATAAGTTTCCTGTTATCACCACCTTACGGCACGGTGATTTAGCACTGAACCTATGGTATGACCGGTTTTCTATGATTCATGATGACCTAAACAAAAAAACTTCGCCGTACATAGTACAGTAACAGCCTTTTTTACGGGCAAAATAAACACGAAGAATATTTTTTCCCAAGTGCTAGCATGCTCCACATAATTATGTAACTTCAACTCAAAGTTCTAGAAAAAAACACGAAAAACACACACACACGTACATGCTGCAGTGGTGTCAACTGAAATTCGCTCCCTGGCCGAATGTTTACGTTCGAATGCTGCAGAGTTTCAACGAATCCTAGCGAGAAGCGTGCATGCCCTTGGCGTACTAGCAACGTGCGTTTGGCATTCATGCCGCACTCTCTGCTATTGCATTTGTGTGTGTGCACTACTGCATACACTTGTACCGTTCTGTAACCCTCCCCATCTTGATGTTCATGATCATGTGTTAGGGGCCATCTGTAATTATCGATCTTTTTCACCAAGAGAAAAAGTTCCGTTCATGGGTGGGTGGGTTGAGGAGAGTTTCGTTATGAAAAATATTGATAGCTGAAACATCAGTCCATTCTATATGATCTAGCTGTCAAGTCGATATATTTTTCGTTCATGGGGGAGGGTCGTAACTAAACTTAATCGATAATTCCTGATGGCCCCTTATGGTGTGACTGTGAAATACAGCAAGCGTTAACTACGTAGCCGCCTGGTAGTACCAGGCGCGTAGCCTGCATGGGGCACGGGGGGGGGGGGGGGGTTCTTGGCATCTCTGTTTTACATTCTCTTACTTGTGCGTGTGTGTGTGTTTGCTTGAGTATTTCTGCTTTTCATCTATTGTGTTTCATGTCAACTCTTCATAATACAATCATAGTGGGTAAAATTTGTGGTAACGACTTCGATGATGATAGTGATAAGAAAGTTGGTTGCTCGAAGTTAACGTTTGAGCTCGCTCTTTCCCACCAAGAGCGTGCAGGGAGCCGATTGAGCCTTTGACTGGGCAACCTGCAATCAAGCACATGTTCAGCTCTATACACAATGTTTCGGGGAAGTTTAATGTTACCTGCATAACTTGTGTTGATCACTGCAAGTTACGGAGCACAGGATCAATGCGCCCACTTCTGGCCGATTTAGGGTCTGTGTTTTTGCCAGCTTTGCCTATGAGTATAGGTAGCAACTTAGCAAAGCATACCACTGCAATAGCCAATGTGCTTTTCCTCTATCATTAGTATGCAGCGATAATGTGACACGTTGGTGGAGAACGATCTCAAGGTGTGTCCATATAGCAAAACATGCACTGTGTACAGACGTGTGAACATCAAGTGGGAAAGAGTTTGCTAAAACAAAAGAGGAGAGAGCCTCATCACTCCGTGTGTTTGTAGATAGGGGAGGGGGGGGGGGGGGAGCAAATATGAATATACAACATCACACCATGTAAAGGATCATGGAGGGTGAAGGGGGGGGGGAGGGGGGGAGGTAATCAAGCCAGGATATTGGGAAAAACTCAACCAGATATATTGCTTGTGTAAGATTAGTGTGGCCAATACAACCAGCAAATACCAAACTGCACTGGTCAATCTATAAACTTGGTCACATACGGTGTAATGTAGTGCAGAATATAGAGAGCCGGTCCACGGCTGTGGAGAAGCGCACTCAAACGGGGAGAAACGAAACGCGGGTGTTGACCAACAGAGGAACATGCTCAACGGTTCGAAATGCACACGTCTCTCTCTCACTCACTCTCTCTCTCACACACACACGCATGCATGCATGCACGCACACACACCACACACACCACACACACACACACACACACACACACACACACACACACACACACACACCTGGTATTGTGAGGCAGGTCCTTGTTCAGTCGTGACTCAGCAAGTGATGGGTTATCTGTGTCCTTTGCTGAACTTCATACCTCTGGATAGGTAAGTAGCACACACTGGCACTTAAATTTCACCATCTACACTATACGCATGTTGATCAAATTCAGAATTTCTTTTTACATGGCATTTTCACACAGTTAGCAGCTTGGTCTGGAAGTGAGCGAACGCGTTCTTGCCGCTCAGTCGGCGACTGCTCTGGCGTTTCAAGCGTGCCTGGTGCTTGCTTAGCTGGCTCCATCGCACGGCGAGCAGCACGACGATGGTGACGGACACGACGATGAGACAGACCGAGAGGGCCATGACCAGCACCATGGCCGGGTTCTTCCACCAGGCGGCAAAGCCGTGCTCCACAACGGTGACGGCGGCAGCGGAACTGGTGGGCTGCCCGGACGGTCCGTCACCGCGGCACAGGATGATACCGCTGTCGATCAAACACCTGACGTCGGTCACGTGACATCGCTGCCCGTGCCGCTGAGCAAAGTCCTCGTCGTCCATGATGGCGTCTCCAGCCACTCCATCACCGCTGGCGCCCGATGCCGAGAAGTCGTCAAGGAGGTCCACGCACAGTGGTAGATCATCGGTACGCGTGTTTTCCACAGCCACTGCCACAGCCAGAAAGACAAGATCAGAGAGAAACACAGCAAACACCCTGCTTCAGTGGAACAGTGCAGTAAAGTGATCATGCTCCTAGGCTGAGGGGCGGTAACAGGCTGCACTTTTCAGCCAAGACACTGTATTACCGAGCCGGTCGAATTATAGAGAACCCTCCGGAATAGAACTCCATATCCCATAGTACGTTATGGCTACAGTACAGACAATACAGAGATGGCTACGGTACTGTACAGTCAGTGTCCCTGCTGTTCTTTGCCAATACGCTAATGGTTTCTGTTCCTTCTGCTGTTGCTGTTGTTGTTGTTGCTGTTGTTGCTGTTGTTGTTGTTGTTGTTGTTGTTGTTGTTGTTGTTGTTGTTGTTGTTGTTGTTGTTGTTGTTGTTGTTGTTTGAAATCGTTGATTCTCACGATGGCCTGTGGCCAATAAGCGAAGTTGTTGTTGTTGTTGTTTGTTGTTTGTTGTTGTTGTTGTTGTTGTTTATTCTCACGATGGCCTGTGGCCAATAAGCAAAGTTGTTGTTGTTGTTGTTGTTTGTTTGTTGTTGTTGTTGTTGTTGTTGTTGTTGTTGATTTTATTTTAATTCGCAGTGACCTAAAAGTATGGTCCGAGACGGACAATGAAAGAACTTTCTAGGAGACAGGAAGCTTATCAAGGAAAAAACACTACAAATGTCAAGCTCTTCATTACATTGTACCACCAGCAAGGACTCAGGCATTCATGAACCAGTTTTCGGGCATTCTCTTCAAGTGAAATACAAGCAACTAGGACCAGGGAAAGGTATGGTCCGTGATGGATAAAATACTAATAGCATCAGAACTTGACAAAAGGGTGGTAACCATTTTTTAAACTAAATGATCAATTTAGCTAAGAATAGCATTGTACATGTACGAGGAGAGACGTAAAGGAAAGAGAAAAAAGAGGTGAGAAGTGAGAAACCTACAACACAATGTGCAAAGACAAACACCCTGGCCTAGGACAATACTATCACACTAGCCCTTCATTATGACTGAGTCAGTGACAGGGCCACGTATAGTGTGACTGTGAAACTGTCACCAGAGGAACAGACAGATCCGCATTGAAGTGGCATGGCAGCAGGGGAGCAGTTTCTGACGAACATTTTTGTGGTGTGACTGACACAGACTGACAGGTTGCGCGCAGCTGATTGTTCTTGTCCAGTCACAGCCACCCTTCTCCGCCTCGATCTTCACAAGGCGTCAAGGGGCAAGCAACCAGTGAACCATTATTTACATGGTCCATGGTGGTTGCATTACAATCATGTAGCCATGCCAGGGACTCGACTGTCAGAGTAGCCAAACGCATGATACTATGACTCTGAGTATGAGTATTGATAGGACCGGCCAGTCAAATGGTCGGTCAATCTGCACTGAGTAGATCTACCGACCGTCTACCATCTCATGAGACACTTGACGACGGGAATGTACTTGGCTGCTTCACACTTCGTCAGCCAACACAAATATTCCAGGGTTGGGCCAGCTACTAAAGTAAGTAAGTTAGGAGTAGACTCTACGAGCAGTTATCATGGTCATACAGATGCCCTTGACACGTCTCGGATCGCCGACTCCAGTCCAATGCTAGGGCACGCACAGCAGCGACACTCTTTAGTCTTTCTATTTTCCTACTCATCTTCTCTACACCAAGGCACTTGGCCGGATTTCCGTTTCTCAGATTGACAGTTCTTTTGCTTCGCTCCAGCCAGCTGCTTCCACAGGCCTCAGGCACTCCACACAGGCTACAGCTGCTGGCGCTACAGCTCAGAGATGATACACCGCTACGAAACCAAGCTGTCTATTGAGTTACCTTGGGGGAATAAAGTAGAGCCGAGGGGAAACGGAACAAGCACAGTGAGTGATCCATGGTGTTCCGGCGAAACGCTCGCGCAGGGCCCCACGGAGAGTATTTTGAATCAGGCAGTCTGCATCTCTTGCTGGCTTTGGGCTGACTGAAAAAAAGCCTTTAGAGTACTGCTTTGTTCGTGTGAGATCAGGGTCAATATGACGGCAGGCGACGTTACATGTCCGGACGCGGTGCACAGTTCTGCAAGCGGTGTTGATGTAGGGTGTGGTGTGGCTGGGAGGAGGTCTCATTGTCACTAGCACGCGATATGATCCGTCACCTTTGCTTGGCTTGAGGCTGTGGTGTCGCAAACTGTAAACACTACAAACACTGCGAGTTGGAGTACAGTGTGCGTTGAGGTTGAACCAACGTCAATGTGTCTCCCTACTACTACTAGTCCCTAGCCACCACATAATCATTGAATACTGAACCCGCGTCATGTAACTACTTATTGTAACGTAATGTTGTCTGCCTATCTTAGTATCCATGGGCAGTCCTCCAGTTTCCACTTGGTGTCGATGTCTAGCTGGTGAATGACATTATTTTTGTAACCCACCTTGAATGTAATCCATCTTACTATTTTATCGGAAAGAACCATTGGAAAGAAGAACCATTCGGCCTCCATTCTATGTACGCACCACTGCCATCGATGTTATTTCCTTGGCTTTAATAGTGACTAGAAGTAGAACTGTTGTGTATTACAGCGTAGTGGCATCATCTGAAAGCCTGGAACAGAGCCGGCCCAGGCGTTACAGATAGTTCACCTTTACACACCAACAAGTATTTGACCATAATAAGTATTACTTTAAAATCTTGTAGGACGCATCACGCAGCTTCATAAGTAAAAATTTGGTTTGTGAGCAACACTGGCTCACACTCAGTCACTGCTTTTCACCAGAAAAATATTTTAATTCAACGTTTCGCTTTAATATGAAATAACCATCATCAGGAATGAAGTATTACTTATTACTACTGAAGTAGTAGATCTACCACAAGGCATCTCTCACCATGTACACACACTGCACGACTGTGAAGTGTGGATGATTTAGCGAGGAATAACTACTGTATACATACAGCATTCATACATGCAAGTCTAAATCGTATCTACAATCCATGGACCGGTGTTGCCTGATGATTGCCAGAGCATGAAACTTGAAGTAGCAGCAAACACGCCTTGATTGTCCTTGTTGTTTTGTTTGGAGTTGATATAGAATGATACATCACATGGACTTGGCACATATCCTACTCTGACTGAGTGTGAAGCTATTCGAAATCATTGCCTCAGAAATAGACGCCATCTGAGCACGTCAATTGGCAACATCCAGATTTCCCGTTCAGGCGGTAACTACTATTTGAACCTAATGGTTTGTTTGTATAACGACACAGTGGTCATACATGTACTTGTATGCACTGCTTATTACGGTTATTGTGTGCTCTCATACTCATAGGTCGAAATGCGACATTTATGAACAACTAGTATAAATATTGGAGACCAGTCAGTTCATGTCATCAGTGATTGTGCTACACAACTTCACAAGTACAATTATGTAGCGTTAGTGCCAATCCCGGGAAGTCACCCTGGGCAGGAAAGCAGGGTCTTTATCTGTTTATATTGGAGTGATGTACCTAGTCCTTACTTCACTGTTCCACTGCTTGAGCTCTTGGTGCGGACTGCCATCTCTGAACCTACTCCCTGCTCCTAACCGTGCCGCGAACACAACAATAGGGACTTCCACTTCCCCTAGACCAAGAGAAAGTGAATGGTTTCTGACTCGTCCTAGATCCTGTAGCGTAGAGTCAGTGAACATATCGACGTACACATGTCCCAATGTCTTACATACACCGATACAGGGACTGCAGTACAGTACAGTCATGTACTGACTGGGCATCCGGTACAAGACGAAAACAAAATGGCGTCGACAGTTTCAATGGCGGACGCATTCCATTGCGGAAGACCGACTCGCTACAGGCGCTCGCCAGAAACTGACCGTTGGGACTGAGAGGTTATTGCTTAGTTTGAGTCCTTCAGTCAGCGTGGCACTAATATGTCGAGACTGCTCAATCCCAGGGCACAGGTTGTGAAGAATCGCGCTGCATTGTCCGGTGGGAGATTCGCCATGCACAAGCACTCCATTGCCCCATTTCACGATGATCTTCGTGCCCCACACAGGAAGTCGAAGATCAGTAGACCGCGACAATCCGGCTCCATCTGGAGAAGGCAATGGTCGTCGAATCAAGATCACATGGAGCGGTTTGTTTACGACCACCAGCAAGGAGCTACAGCTACAGATAGGATAATGTAGCTGCTCTCTTCCTTCAAGTGTTTTCAGTAGAGTTCTACTTGGCTTCCATGCCACCTGCAGGCGTGCCCAGTGCATGCAACAGGTGTTTATGACCTGAACAAATGGGCTGAAACTGACCAACAACAGTGCACGCCAGCAAACACTCACCTGGAGAAGATTGAACAGGTCTCGTCCCTCCCATAACTAACAGCAGAAGCAGGGCATAATGACCCGCAATCAACATCGCCGTGCCCATCCCTCTCCGACTGGACGCCAAGGAAGAGCCCATCTCCGCGCGGACAGCGATCCAGAGGATGTGGCCCGCACAGCCTTGCAGTTACCAGCAAGCAGTTGACGACAGAGTCGGCACAGCCGGATGCCAAGCAATGGCGAGTACTCCTCCACGACAGTGCCAGCTAGTCCTTGGCCAAGCCACAGTAGCTGCCCTGAGAGTGCGTGCTCCAATCCTGTGTTGCAAAGCAAGCGAACGGCAAGCTTCATACTCGTAGTTCATACCTTCACCTCTGCCTCTGTATGAATGTAGTGTTCGGTTGACCGGATGGCGTGCTCTTTGTTCCCACATACATGTACACGTAGTCCATCATGGCTCTCAACTGATCGTCCCCATCAGGTCTGTGCAGACTGTGGATCTAGATTCTAAATGCCTAGAACTGACCCAAACTCCTGACCGCTACCGCACACCGGCGTTCCTATCTGCCGCATGCCTACACCGACCCCGAGGGCGAGTACTCACGCAAAGCAAGGCGAAACTCGTTACCGCGTTTTGCATACTCATCCCAACGACGTGGTTTTCTGTGACTTGTGTGTACGTGTACATCCGATGCAATATGCCTGTGTAAACACCACTGCCACTGGTACATGGTGCATGTTGCTGATATCTAGTACTACAGACTACAGACTACAGTACAATCATGTACATCCTTGGCCATTGGCATTGGGCGTAGTACATGATGTGCTTGCTTGCTGCACTGCCGGAGTTTCTCCTGAAATCGGATCGCCACCCGACACCGTCCAGCACGCGCGCCAGGCTTTTCACGACCGATCACGCGCCACGTCGATGTCGTCTTGCATGCGTGCGCCGTACCTAGCACCTGTGGTCCTTTTGACCTAATGCTGCTGTGTACGTGTATGACTATGTGTGTTCCCCCTCCCCCTCCAGCTAGCTCCCCTCAACTGGCTCCATCGATCCATGGCAGTCAATGCACTCATGTCGACCATGCTTTGTTCGAAGCCGGAGACTCTCGAAGTCTCGTGTACGGACAAGCGACATTGCAGTCCGGGTTCGAGGGTGATGTCGCTTGCTGGGCTCATTACTCCGATATTGACATACATGGTACTAGTAGTAGTAGTACACTAGACTACTGTCTGACTGACTGGCATAGCAGTCTTCACTTGAACAGTATACTGAGTACTGTATTTACAATAGTACAAGTCATGTAGCTACTAATACTGAGTACTAAGTAAGTTGAAGCTCACAGCATGTACTGTACATGACATTGTGCAAACTGCAAAGTCAATGACTTTGTACAATGTACAATGACTAAATGTAGTTGTAGTCAAGAAGGAGGTGAGCAAGCCGCCAAAGCATTGTTCTCGCGTCCACATTCCACACCTAGAAAACCGCACAACTACAAACAATTCATTTGTAGCGTTTCTACCAGGGCTGTGTGCGCAGGTACTAGGTCTGACAGTACATGTACTGACGAATTACTGATAGACATGCGCATATGCCAGGCAGCGCAGGTACATACATGTACATACAATGTACAATGTCAATGTACGTTTCTACAAAGAGTGAAAGACGTCGTTCGTTCCCGGTCCCTTCCTTGACTTTGATCAGCCACAAGCTGTAGCCTGCTGCAGTACTACTGTAAAACAATCCGGCCAATGCTGCACATGGACATGGTACTACTAGTACTAGTGCTAGGCAGGATGTTTTTGGCGAACATGGTTTGTCATGCTGGTTCGAATCGAATCCCTGATTGGTCGTACGTCGGATGTAGATCTACATGACATTCTGTACATACCTGTTTTTACTACCTCACCTGAATTCAGAATCAGCTCAGGTGTGCCGCAAGGGAGCATATGGGGCTCCAATTATGTTTTCCTCCTAAATAATGATTGTCAATGACATGGAGGACCACCTCCCAGTCACAACCCAGCTCGCCATATATGCAGATGACACTAGTACGCTATATCAGTGCATCCCGTCCCTGACCGCTCTCCCGGTTGGCCTAGCGAAGCTCCAGACTGCTGTGGATGCCCTAGCAGAATGGGGTCAGAGCTGGAAGATCACATTCTAGCCCACAAAGTCCCAAGTCTTGACGATTTCCCATCACCGTCAACCCTGGCCGATTCCTCCAGCCACTTGCAATGAGGCGGGCATAGAGGAAGTGGACGAGCTGAAGTTGCTTGGAGTGCTCTTAGATCGGAGCCTCTCCTTCCGCTCCCACATTCGACAAGTAAGTTACATGTAGTTGCAGTCCGTGGTCTTGGCTTCATGAGGAAGGCTCTGACAATTCTCGACAACAAAGCCAAGTATGCCGTGTACCGCGGCTTCGTCCACCCCGTACTTGAATACTGCCCACTGTCATGGTTGGGAGCGTCCCAGTCTACCCTGAACCAGCTGGACCAGGTACAGCACGGAGCCCTAAAGCTCATCGGCCCGGGGTCGTATCTCCCAAGCCTCACTGTTCGGCGTCAAGTCGCAGCACTCACATGCCTGTACAAGCTGCACTGGATTGATGGTCCCCCAATCTTGACCACCCTGATACATGTACCCCCGAAGGCAGTTGCTAATCAGCACCGGCGCTCCGCTCGCCACCAGAAAGAGGAGCGGCACCAGCACCGACTAGCACCGACACTGCCCGCCGGAGCCCGTGATAGTGCTCTCCGATCGTTCCCCCACGCCACGATCCAAGACTGGAATCGTCTCCCATCTGCCCTGCTACGCAACCTTCCCACGAAGAAGGGAATGCCGGCGGCATTCAAAGAAGGCGGCTACAAGTCTCTCCGCAGTCGAGACTGCCACTCAGCCACAGGTGCCCTCTGAACCCAATTCTGAACACCCTCTCCGCTTGCACCCTCTCGGCTTGCACCCTGACTCCCCCCCCCCCCTAATACTACAGTCGTCCCTCTCTAATCCGGCACTTTATAAACCAGCACCCTCTATAAACCAGCACAATTTTCAGTAGCCAAATGTCCTCTTCATGTACATTGCAGCAGTAGATCAGATTTGTTAATCCAGCACCCTCCCTAATCCAGCAGATTTCCCGTGGCACAAATAGTGCCGGATTATAGAGGGACCACTGTAGTACATATATCATCTTTCCGTTTTTCACCCTCTATACAATAGAGAGGTTAAGATGCACGTTATTTCCGACGTGACGCGCAATTTCACGTCAAATTTGGCGTAAAACTCCAAATTTCGACGTGAGCAGCAGGTCACTCGCGTTGATTTTTCGACGTGCGAGCAAATAACGCGAGCTGAACTTTCGCGTCACGTCAGAAATAACGTGCATCTTAACATCTCTATTGTACTCCCCCCCCCCCCACCCGCCCCCTGTGTCTACTCTTCCCCATTTTCCCGACCCCTGTGTCTACTCCTCCCCACTGTTCGGTGCACTAAAGTGTCGCTGAAGCCGAGACCTCAGGTCGTCGGAGATGCTCCAGTTTCACCACCACAGCTGTGGCTGTAGCCACCTCTATCACGCAGTATTCTATTCTCGAGTTTCGTAGTTTCTCATTTAACCCTTTGAGGTGCCACTGAACGCGTGAAAATAAAAAGAATACTCCTACAGTCCTAGCTACCATCCCCTCCTTATCTCACTATCGTCTACAGGCTTGTGTAGATTTCTACCGGCGCAGGAAGTTATCCCAGGTGTCCAGGGTAACAGAGACTACCCAGATGTCCAGGGTAACAGAGACTACCCAGATGTCCAGGGTAACAGAGACTACCCAGATGTCCAGGGTAACAGAGACTACCCAGATGTCCAGGGTACCGGAGACTACCCAGATGTCCAGGGTAACGGAGACTACCCAGATGTCCAGGGTAACAGAGACTACCCAGATGTCCAGGGTAACAGAGACTACCCAGATGTCCAGGGTAACGGAGACTACCCAGATGTCCAGGGTAACGGAGACTACCCAGATGTCCAGGGTAACAGAGACTACCCAGATGTCCAGGGTAAAAGAGACTACCCAGATGTCCAGGGTAACAGAGACTACCCAGATGTCCAGGGTAACAGAGACTACCCAGATGCTTCCAATGGAGCAACGCCCTAGCAGTACCGGGCTACCACGGTTCAATACATGTATGTACATGACTGTACATGTACATGTAGTTGCAGTCAGGAGCCGCCAGCAGACAAGCCCTCAATACGATGTACCAGTAGTCACACCACCACTCCGCAATGCGCTAAGTTACTGCCTGAGGCTCTCGGCCGACCAATTCCGCATGCACATCACGACCATAGCGAGGACAAATTCCATCGAGACTAGTAAAAGATGACAGCTACACAAGGCATAGCTCATTGGTTAGAGCATCCCTGGCCTCGAGCGAAGGTCCCTGGTTCGATTCCTGGTGATGAGAGTCAATTTTTTCTTTGGACCTTTCCCTTTTCCTCACCAACTATTCCATCAACTAGTGAAGGGATAATACTGATAATTGATATTGCAGACCCGATTCTGACCCGTTTCCAGACAGGTGTTTCCGACTTTCGCTCCAACACTGCTACAGAGCCCATCAGTGGATATCGAACGATTGGGGTGAATGATAAGAATGATGTCGGCAAAAAGGGCACCCTTTCTTCTACATGACGTACATGTACATGTTACTAGTTACTTTGTAAGTGAGTTTGGCATGCCCACAAACAACGGATTGCTGGTGAATGTAGAGCAAGGCGTGCGACAGCCCAGCTTTCCCTACATGTACATGTACATGTACATGACTGTACTAGTCAGGCACCAAGCACGAACAGATGGTGGGGCCGGGGCCCGGGGGCGAGAGAAGGAGTGATCTTTGCCAGAACTTTGCACCTTATTAGAGAGAGCGTTGTGCATGCTGGCGTGTTTTTTATTTTATTTATTTACGTACTTCGTAGTCAAGTGGTTTGCTTCACTATCCGAAGAGTGCTCAGTACCCATGTAGGGCAGAGTCTTGTACACAGGAGAGAGATTGGAAGCTTTGTTACAACTCTGAGTTTCACGTATTACTACGATCATCAGGCAAGGCAGGTTGAATCTCTCTCTCTCTCTTGTGTATTTATTTATTTCTTTATTATTGGGAACACAGCCCTACAAGTACAAAGAGACATGTAGAGACAAACACAAAACAAAACACAGGGGATGTAGGGACGACGTGCCGATGTACAGGGAGCAACTCGACCGACCAGGGGTCTCGGCGTTAGCGTTGCAACCTGGCATCGAAAAAAGGGGGGGGGGTTGCATGGTCAAGTTGCAAAAATAATACTTTGGTGCGAGAAAGGGGCGCTAGTATTGCACCAAATAATATACATGTAAATG